ATATATAATATGTATGTATTTTATATATAATTTATTTATGTATTTTATGTATAATATTATATAATATATAATTATTATTATATAATATATATATACATAACATATAATAATATGTATATAATTTATTTATGTATTTTATATATAATTTTGTTTAATTGTGAATATATATATATGTCAGTTAATAATACCGTTAGGTTACTTAGTACCATTAGATTCGATTTCCCATGTAACACGGTGTCTGTTAAGAGTCAGAGAAAGATCTCGTAGGAACGTTCTCATCTCTTGTACGTTTCCCTCTTTAAGGTTCTATCGAGACTTTCCATATTGCACGTTGATTTATCGCATCGGTCAGGTGAACGGCAAGGGGTTGTCCGAGGTCATGCTGGTGTCTGTTAAGTTTCTTCTCTTTCTCCTTTCTCTTTTATCCTTTCTTTCTTTCTTTCTTTCTTTCCAATTGTTCTTTTTTTTCTTTTTCTTTTTCATTTTCTTTTTCTTTTTCATTTTCTTTTTCTTTTCAATTATACTTCGAGATGAAGACGCCAACACATCTCGCATATAATATTCCAAGAGATTTATTTTCTTTTTATTTTCTTTATCTAGTTTTTTTCTTCCCCTTTTTTATCGTGATATAGAGAAAGTTAATTTCACATTGAAAACCGATCCCTCCCCTCCCCCACCCCACCACCATTGTAATAAAAATATACGCGCAATTACTAATCTTCGTATTATTAGAATTGGGATTTTATAAAAAAGAAAAATGTTCCTTTTTTTCAAATTAATTGATTTATCTCAACTAAATAATAATAATAATAAATGAAGTTAAGTATATATTCGAAATAAAAGAGATACGTTAGTGAGTTAATGGGTTTGAAACGTGTTGAAATTTAAAACATGAACGATTTTGTTTACGATCAAACTCACGTTTTTATTTTTTTAATTAAAAATATATAATTCTTTTTTTTTTGTCGTGATTCTCTCAATATTATTTAAATCGTACGATTTCATTTAAAATCAAATTAATGTATACGTTAAATACATATTTCACGTATCATGAGAAATATATTCGTGCATATTATTTTTATTTTTATTTGTATTTTGAATTCATAAAATTTGGAACTACGTTCGAAGTTCTAAACGCACCTTTACGTTAAAGAGCCAATCAACCTGGTTCGAAGTTGTTGCTCGAGCTTATCGACCGTCATCGTAGAAGGTGATTCGTATGGTTCGTTTCGAGCAAAGCAGAATCCTTTCTCTCTTTTATTGTCAGAAGCGAAACCCCTTCGAGATAAATTCTTTTCCTCCTGCAATCATTGCGTTTCGTTTCGTTTTTTCTTTTTTTTTTTTTTTTATAAGCAAAAGAAATTCCTAAAAACGTTTAACAATAATTCAAACGGTTTAAATTCATTTCGTTAAAAAAAAAACCCTTACTTAATTTTTTACCATTAATTTCCAATTTTCCAATTGACCCATTAAAATCTGCTAAAACAAGAAAAAAAAAAAAAAGAAAACTTTTCGAAATTTTTCTACCAAAACGTTTCGATCATTTCTTTGCTTTTTAAATCGAACGTAATAATTTTTTTTTTTTTCGGTTCATTATTAGAGTTGGAACAATTTTTATGTACGTGATGAATATGACAAAAAAAATACGACAATGATATTTATTTTCTGTACTTTTGATTAGGTTGAATTTATTAATTTGGATAAACGAATGATTAAATTCGATACAATTTAAATTTAAAAATATAAATCGATATATTATTATTTAATAAATAATTTTAATTTTTGACAACAACAATAATGCATAATAAATTTATCTTTATAAACATGCATTGTTTCTTTTTGCATGTTTATACATATTATTACTTTAATGTAATTTTTAGCTTCTTTTTATAGGATGTTAGCTTTGTAAACGATTTATTTGCGATTACTGTATAGATAAAAAAGGAAAAAAGGGTAATAAACTGACGCGATAAAATGTAAGAAAGAAATTATGTGAGTTGATTCTTATACACGTCGTTACGTTTCGATTCGAAAAAAATAAGAAACATCTTTGATCGTGAACACGGATGATCGTACTTTAACAGTCCATAATTTTTTATTTTTTTTTCAAAAGAATAAAATCCCAAAAGATATTTGGTTGTAACGATCTTGCCATTATTAGTAATGCATAATTCCACAGCTACGAATTTTTATATATAAGCACGAA